AATGCTCCTCCCATTGAGTAGTTTCAATGCACTGCCATGGTTTTGGATTATTATTAGTCTGCCCATTTATGCCCACAGCCACCCTATGCTACAACCCACAGCCAGCCTATGCTACACCCCAAAGCCACCCTGTGTTACACCCCACAGCCACCCTACACTACACCTTGGAGCCACCCTGTGTTACACCCCACAGCCACCCTACACTACACCCCAAAGCCAGCCTATGCTACACCCCACAGCCACCCTATGCTACACCCCAAAGCCACCCTGTGTTACACCCCACAGCCACCCTACGCTACACCCCAAAGCCAGCCTATGCTACACCCCACAACCACCCTACGCTACACCCCAAAGCCACACACCCAATCTCCTGAATACCACAGTTTATGCCATACCCCATGCCCACCCACTCCTCAACCCCAGCCACTCACATTATGAAACAACCCGCCGGCCACCAAGACCACCCGCTCCTTGCTGAACCCGTCCAGCAGCGTGGGTGTGGTTCTCTTCATCACCACCTTCCCTAGTCCCAGCTGGCCGAAGGTCCCCGACCCACAGACGTACACCTGACCGTTGGCGGACAGCACGATGCTGTGACAGTAGCCCCCGGCTATTTGGGTCACGCGGACGGAATCTAGAGCAGTCACATGGCGGGGCTGGAGCTGGTCTTCCACTGAACTGTGGCCAAGCTGACCATGAACCCCCCAACCCCAGCTGTATACTCTGAAAGAACCAAAGATAAATAAAGTAGGAAACATCCTTTGTGGGAAACTCAAATTTAAATAAAAGTTTAGGGTGACAGGGAAGCTATGCACATTCTTAGGGTAACTCTGTCAGCATGTTGCTCCTTACACCAAGTTGACCACTCGAATTTAAAAAATCATTATTACGCATCTGAAATTCCAGGAATAGCCCATATTTAAGGTCTGAATGTGTGTGATGTAGACAAGGACATCAGAGATTTACCCCAGAATATCTGTAATATGGAACTTACGTCTCTACAAACTTCAAATCTCCAAAACAATCTCAGCAATACATGTCACAACATTTTGCTCAGCCCTTATTTCTTTCATTCACTAAAAAAGAACTATCTTTACAGCGTTCGATTCCAAGTTTATCTTCTTTCCATCAGTGTTGTCTACTTCCTTTGTCTTCTGGACAGTGACTGATGTGCCATTTCTCTTCTGGACAGCAACTGATGTGCCATTTCAGTAAAAGGCTATTTTCCATTTCCAAATATCGAAAATACCAAACGCTTTCTCAGACCCAAGCTGCCATTTCCACAATATCGGCCCACTAACCATGAACAACGACAATCAGGGGCCCATAGAAACTATGATATGGCTGATCATCAAGAAGAAAATAAAACTAAGTCAACTCACTTTTGGTCCTTAGTGAGAGCCAAGGAGTGGTACTGACCACACGCAATAGCCACACAGCATTGACCGGTCAGGGCTTGGACCAAGGACGGCCTGGTGCGAGTGGTCTGATCGCCCAGGCCAAGCTGACCACATTTGGAGGTACCCCAGGAATACAACTGCAGAGGACAGAAAAAAAACCAAGACTCATGATGATGTAATCGTGGTTGAAGAATTTCAGCCAATCAGAGAAGAACATGAGTGCTCGTGTGTCAGTTTGCGTACACAAAAAATTCTGTGGAACTGCACATTTTCCACGCGAGGCATGCAGAGAAGTACCACTCTGTGTCAGTTTGTAATGTCCAAGATGATCCATTTCCAGACTTGGGTAAGAGCTCCACCTACCCTTCCCTGATCCCCCAGGGCCATGGTGTGCTCCTTCCCGCAGGCTACGGAGATGATGCGGATCTGGTGCATGTGGAGTGTCTCGACACGGAACGGTGCTGACCTACCATCAGCCGGAATGATGTCACCATGACCTAACCTAAACACGGCGAGAAAAGAAATGATACTGGACAACTTCACTCAAGGGTGTTTCCATGGAAATATGATGCACCAAGATTTTCAATGTACCTCTCATTCTGTGCGATCCAAACCCTTTTGCCAAACAAGTCCACAACTCAAAGACCTTGCTTCATCATTACAGTATACATCTTACATACATGTCTGTTCATATTTTTTTTCATGAACAGCTCATGAAATGGTCCAAATCAAGGCTGATAAACATTCCAAGTTTCAGAGAAGCAAATCCATACAAAAGTACTTGAAAATGTACAACTACTCCTTCAGAGAACATTCCCCACAAAGGCGTAACATGGTGTCTGTTTCTTATTCAATACAAATGTTATTGTGAACAGCACCCACATCAGTTACTCACTGAAGAAGCCATCTGGTAGGCCAATCAAATGGTTCACTGCAGCTGAGTCTTAGAAATAATGATACTTTGTGCACTTATAAGACATTAATGTTACCTTCCACCGTGGGCTTTCCCCCATGTATAGACATCATCACCGGAAACCACGGCAACGTGGAACTGACCGCACGAAAGGATGTTTCTCTGAGGAGGTAGACTGACCGCTTGCTGGACCCGGTCACTGGAGGGACTGCTGCTGTCCGCACTGGGGTCAAAGTTCAGCAAGCTAGAAGAATTACTGCCGGGAGAAAAACAGCCATCGATTGTTGAGAGTTCAAATCAACTTATTTCAGTCTGCCGAAATGAGATCTCATACAGTACTTGTTACAATGACACAATTCCTACGTATAGCCCAGGACCATGTTTTGTGGCAGCAGCACACACCTTCTGGGCTAATCCTGCAAGGATGTGCATGTTAAACCAAGATCCTAGCCAAGAACCAACATGTGATATATGCTCCCCATTAGTGCAGAATATCTGCTAGCTGGCAAAAAATCTTTGCTTTCTGAGACCAGAGCCATGACTGAGAGCAGGGGCATAACTCTGGGCCCTAGTTTTTACAAAGAAATTTAAAACTGCAAAGGAAATGTTAGTGCCCACTTTCTCGTTGGATCCACCTTGTTCACAGTTTACTACTGGCAACTGATGAGGACTCGACTAGTGCATTTCGTCCAAAGCTACAGCGGCAGTATAGATCTTACTCACCAGACCGGATGCCATCTTCACAGGAAACTTAAAACTATGTATAGGCCTACAGTGCCAACACGTGCGTACCCACAGTGTGCAAAAATTTGAATATCTTCAAAATATGGCACAGCTGATGCATGCCACAAAAATTGAAGTCTAAAATGCCGATGCCTGAGGAAATCTGTGGGAAGTGACGTCATTTGAAAGACACCTAATAAAATGCATCAAGTTTGGGCTCCCTCAGTTCTCCTTTACTCCTGCAGTTCTGTCCAGCAAACTGAATCACTGATACTAACCCTTGGTCTATTCTCTTCCTGTTCAGTACAATGAGAACTCTGAGGAAGAATTCTACCAGAGCACTGGGCTTGGGAAAGGACTGGGTGGTGTCCTGTCACAGAAAAGAAAAAAGACATTACTCATTACGTAAAACCCTCATCAATCTGTTTTCAACATGGTAAATCCCTTCCCCAAAGCTAACTCATGAAGTGAAAAAACAAGTCATTTGTGACTGTGAACATGACATCTAGTCAACAAAAACAAATGAAGTTGCAATGATGGAAATATTTCTATACTTGAAAACAAAATTAGAGCATGAGAGTTACTCACCTGCCATATCAGATATCTCTTGATATTCCAAAAATGATAAAGAAATAGATGCAATAATTTGTATCTAGTTTGGACTATGCCCTTTGCTACGTACCAGAGCAGACTCCAATGAGCCTTCACAGTCACTGCTCATTGTCTCAAGTGAGGCAGAAGATGAACTCGTCTGGATTCTGAGGGAAGAAATTATCCATTCAGTCATTTGCATTGATTATAAACCAAATGAAGGAAATCATTACAGAAGTTCAACCAAGTTCAGAAATTGGTTTCCAATGAATTCTCTTTTATATCCCGGATTCTTAGACTCACTGCAGAATCAGCAAAGAGCCAGAAAACATAATTCTTCAAACAAAATCCAACAGATGGAGGAAAGGGATTTTGGTTCTCTTTGCACAAGCAAGATTGCACGAGTCAGACCCCCACTGAGATATTGTGGAATTCGGGAGAACTTAAACATATAAAGGCCGTTAAGGAAGCCTTACAACATGAGTGACTGTGACCAAAATCCTGACAAAGCTGCCAACCTCTCTTACCCTTTTTAACGGGTACGCTTGCAGGGCAATGAATCCACATCAATGTTGTTTAACAGTTGGTGTTTTCTTTTGAAGCAGTGCTGCAAACATTACATCTCGTTAATACAGCAAGACTCAATGAGCCAGCTCGATTTTCCAACAGCGCATACCCAAAATGAAGTGCTTCACAGGTCGTTTGGTTATGCATGTGAGGTCTGCACAATCTGTGCCCACTCAGTGGACTCGCGTGAGCGATTTGTTCCCTAATGACCTTGCTTTTTAGACATACCGAACTGGCTTATTCTAGTTACTCAGTTAATCCTAGAAATGGACCAGTAGGTATAAGTGAGGTGTAACTTGGCTTGATTACATGTTCCCCCATCATGTGAGTTTTGACTTTCTTACTTTGCCTTAGCCGTTGTGACTGCTCTAGTGAGTAGAGGTCTGATGGTGGGTTTGGACGGATCAAACAACCAGGCTAGCTTCATCAAGGTAGCCAGCTTCAAATCGCCAAGGAATCTGCTGAAGAGTTCCATGTACCGATAGCACAGCTCGGGCTGCAAATGAACACCAACAGTGAGGCTGATTTGCTAAAAACCTGCCACTTCCTGGTTCAAACCACTGTGAGGAAACTGGTTCATGCTTCAAAAGTGCTTACGAGTGAAGCAAATTAAAGGTCAATATGAAACTGTTAATGTCATGGACTTCACTTTACTTTTCATGAAGTATCCGGTATGACTGGTGAAATTTGATGAAGTTTGGTCTTACCCCTTCCTGCTGTTGAGAGCCCATGAGGTAGCCAATTTTGCACTTCACTGGCTTCCTTTGAAGTTTTGACTTCTGTTTCTGTGGACTCTAACCCTCACACATAATAATCTCTGGCCTAATTATTGTCACACAGGCATGATAACTCAACCGATGAGTCTGTATTTCATAGAGCCAATATTTCACTCAAAGTGGGCACTGTCGGGCACTGTCGCGTTCTGCCTCTTATCGCACAATGAGTGGTGCACACGCCAAGTTCAAGAAACTTTATGTACTGTGTAAATGAGGCACATAGTCAGATATGGGTATCAGGGTGTTTCACATTACAGGGGATAAGACTGATTGACAACAATGCTGGAAAAAATTATTGATTTCAGGCACTGAATGGACATTTACAAGCAAAAGTGTGTTAGAGCAATTTTAGATAAGTATGTTTACAATCTTCCTCTCCTGCAACATACCTTCTCCACCAGCCTGTTGACGGCCTCCTGCGTGGTCATGCTGACCAGGAAGGCATTGTCCCCAGAGCTGGCCATGGTAGAGATGAAACCCTGGGATACCAGAAGGCACTGCTGCTCACAGTCCAGCTCCGGTGAGCCGTGGGTCAGCAGGGCTTCTAGGGCCTGGCCTACCAGGCCTCTAGACTGTAAATGAGACCACATAGTTACTGTTACATCCTAACAGCTCTGAATCCTCCAATGTGAACCCTAACCTCCTGGGGTGTTTTCAAGATGTATTACAATGTATGATACGTGTGATAGATGTATATACATGTATGTTGGTTAAGGGCAAAACCTGTTATACAAATTAACATCTCCCCAATGCAAAAAATACATCTTGAAATAGTTCGCAGAACCCGCTGCTTCACCTGACTCGGACCAGCCAGCCGACCCCGGGAAGCTCGGTGGTCGAGTGGTTAAGACGTCTGCACTAGTAAGCAGGAGCTCGTGAGATCGAGTCCCACCCAAGTAAGCTTGTGACTTTTTTCGCAAGCTCTCGGAAAATCACTGAGCATACAGTGTTTATCAATATATACATGTACGTTGGGTAAGGGCAAAACCCGTTATATAAATCTCCTGGGGCATGTTAAAAAACACACAGCTACTCAAGGTCCATCTTTGGTGAGCCGTGGGTCAGCAGAGCCTCCAGGGCCTGGCCTAAGAGGCCTCTGGACTGTGACAGAGACCATAAAGTTACTGTTATACCCTACCAGCTCTGAAATCCACCAATGTAATCTAAACCTCTTGGGGTATGTGAAAAATTCTTCTGAAATTGGAGGACTGATGACTGTAAGTGTTTGTGTAATTTTTCGTACGCCCAAAAAGTCAGGCTTTTGGCTCGTTGACATCAATTTTTACAATGAATGTCTAACGTGCAAGTTTTAATTCCTTTGACCTACATGAATATGAAAATAACGAGCTTCCACTTATTTTTAAATATTTCCAACATTTTTCCCAGGGAACTTCTCCAGCATGCAAAGTATCACATGTTGCTATTGAAAAAAAACTGATTGCTGTTGCAAAGATGTCTCTTTTAGACAGATGCTCTTCACTGTAAGGGCTCTATACAAATAGTGAGCCTCAACTCTAGCTAAGCACCGTCGATATATTGATATTATCAATATGGGTTTGATACCGATATCACCGATGTTAGTTACTCGGTAATATCGATACATCGAAAATGTCAGACTTTGAAGAAATATTGAAAATATCGAAAAAATCGATAGAAAAATATGTTGAAATTATCACTACTGAGGAACGAATTTTATTAAAAATACGAAAGTGCATCGTCACGTTACCGTAATTTTCAATAAGCCACAGCTTACGTTGGTTCTTACGCTGAGTAAAAATTTGAATGTAGCTTATACTCTGGGTGGCTTATACGGCGACATTTGAAGAATAAATTCAGTCACCTATCTCAGTCTCGCACTCATTAATCCGCATACACTTTGCCTCGAAAATATCACAAACTTTATCCTCCAAAACAGAAAATTATTTGCTAACCAAACATACGTAGACTAGCACAATGTCCAGATGATATCACTATGCATGGCAGTGTGTATCACATCCAAAGTAGGCATTGTATGCAATACGGACACTAGAACATGTCGCCAAAGTGAATTGGATTACACCATTATAGTGTAGGGGAGTACCCTTTGAACAATTTACCAGTAATTCACGCCTGTTATAATACCTTGAAAATTAAAATGAATAAAATTCCACATATCGATAATATCGATATAAAACACCAATATATTGGTATCAGCCAAAATACGATGTTGACGGTGCCTAACTCTAGCTACATGTAAATACTGATGCATCGAGTTTGCATTTAGTTTTATGCATCAAGTTGGCTTTACTGTCACAAACTAAATTAACAAGAAAAACAGAAATCTGGACTCAGCGGACGAGCGGCAGCACTGAAAAGTTTGTTCACCGGTTAACATTGTAGTTTCTTACCCAAAAATGCTGCCGGGGGCGGGTATTTTTCCCTGCAAATTCTTCAAAATAGCAATTTATTTATGATGCAACCAAGCATGATGCATTAATTCGTCAACAACAAAAATGAAAAAGGGAAATCCAAGTGTGTGTGAACACGCCCTCTGGTGGAACAAATAAGGAAAATTGTGTGCGTTTACACGTCAACCGGCATCAAGTGGTTAATACAGGTGGCATCCCGTTTTAACCGTGACGAGAAAATTCAACTTTGCGAAAATGTGAATGTGCCTCAAAACCCTTTGAAGTAAACGGATTGAAATCAAAGGTAAATGGCACCAAATGGCACATCCAAAGGACTGCACCAAAAAGTCATTATACATGCGGCACAGGCCCTTTCTTTAACTGTCCAACTACCTGTATCGGTTAATAATGATAATGCTATGTCAGATTCTAAGATATTTCACACATGACAAGAACTAGGATGGGAGATATGTCTCACCCTGGCAACTTCAAAGATAAGATCTTGCATGCCGTACTGGGCAAACGTCTCTAGGGCGGAGATTTCATTATAGTCAAAGTTGTCCATCAAAAACTGCCTGCAACGGACAACAAATTAATCATTAAAACAAACTTCATCACAGACAAAGAACAAAATTGTATCGATTCACGTCTGTTGAATGTTGAGTTTGATTGTTTACATAAGGTGACTAAATTCAACAACCGAGCAATGAATTAACCCTGATTTGCACATGAACATGAATGTTAAAACTCCATTAAGAAACAAACTATCCTAATGGTTACACTAATCTTATCACTAAACAGGTCAAAGTCTGGACAAGTCTGAAGTACAGTACCACATAATGACCTCCAAATCTCCTTCCTTGTAAACATACTCTCGGTGCTTGAATTTCAGAAACATGAGTACCGCTCAATGCAGAGTGTTACACCAAGTCAAAGAGTATCACTCCAAACCTGAATTATGCAAGGGAACTTGTTTTGTATCAAGCAATAATCTCCCTGTGTGTGCTTGCTTGCACAAGTCTGGTGTTTATAACATATAAATAACTCTATAAAAAATCTTTACATAGACGTCAGTGGCATTTAAGTGTCGCCCATCTCTATCTAGGCCAGTTTCCAATACTCAACTTTGTCTTCATCCCCGAAACCAATCCCCGATTGTGGGCCTGAAGCGTTTAAATCAAATTGGATTACTGTAGGTTTTTGCTCTCTTGCATCTTATATCATGGAATGGGGCAAATTTGGTGTGGGCACTGAGACGTTATGGTAAGGAAACCACATTTCTCCAGGCACCCCTTGGCAACACTACTACACCAAGATAGTATTTTAAAAATCCCTATTATGTTGGAAGAAATAGGCACCCTTTCAACATTAAGTCAAGTTTCTGCTGAGTGACCTGTAAACAATTTCATATTCTTCCATCAGGCAACCAATGTGACCAAAATGTTTCCATTCAAATGATTAATGGAGACACATGCTAAAATGAGTCTATTACAAGACCTCACAAGTCCCTGCAAGTCTACCAAAAAGTCATCTGATCTCAAGTCAACTGGACAGCTGTTCAAATGAACAGTTGGCAAAAGCATTCCTTTGTCGCTTTCCTGTCACTCGTGACCGGAATGTTGAAAAGACTTGTCATGGACTCGACCAACACAACGACTAATAACCACACTGCTTGTCTAACCTGAACCTGCTGATCAGTGCCTCGTCACTTCGTCCCTCCAGCATCTGATACAGGAAGCACCTGATGGCGATGTCGGCTAGCTGTCGCTTGTCGGCCCCACTGAGGTCACGGGGTTCACCCAGAGCTGACAGCACCAGACCGAGGGCTTCCTGGATGAAACCCTGGCTCACAAAGTTGCCGACCCGCTTCAGCATCGGCCACTGAAGAAGCATGAAAAAGGGAAAGTTTTTATTATCATCGTCTCTCTAGACAGTCTGGTAACGTCACAGAATCTCACAGAGCTGAAATGTGAACCCTGCTGAATGCAATATTTGAACTGCAACAAATTGCTGCTACATTCATCTCATGAAATTCATGATTTACCAATGTTATCCCTCAAGTCTTACCTCTGAACGATGGTACAGTCTCCTGGCCAGCCCTGTCTCTCCTTCAGCTAGTTTCCGATTGGCTGCCAGCCCATACAGCCCTTTCATAGGCAGTGCTAGGGTGATACCAAGATTTTCAGGGAGGGAGGTATCCATCTCTTCCATGGCCAGCTCCAGGAACAGTCCCTCGGGAGATATTCTATCAACATGATCAACAGGTGAGATTGGGTATGAAGAGAGATCTACGAAATAATGACAACTCTAAAATAAACATTTAAATATTCCAAGTTGTAAGAGCTTAAAAGGCAAGAGTTCTTCCCAATGGTTACAGGTATGTATCTAAATCTTTCACATTTTTGCGCAAACTGCAAACAAGCAGCAAAATCTGCAAGATTAAATGTCTGTCATTCTTGAATTTGTTGGGCCCATAATCCCGTAATCTGAAAAAAAAAAATCTCAAAAAGCACACTTCCATTCTATCTGGACAACAAATCAGAACATGAAGCACATCATAAACAGGTGTCTTCCCTCAGAGCAAACTTACTCCATTGATCAAAAGCAATATACACTTATCACCAGGCAATAAAAAAAATAAAAATGTACTTTGTACGTGCACACTATAATGCATCCCTATATCAAACAGACAGCCATAACCATCAAGAGAAGATAATTACTGGTGCTGATTTTCAAACTTTGATGAGCTAAAAATAGCTTCTTTTTTTTTAACAAACAAATGGCAGACACGCACATTTGCACACCATCAGTCCACATGGGGCATTTGCTGGTAAAATTATGCATGGTATGGGAAGTGGCCAAATGGTTTCATATCTGTGGTACTCTAACTAGTGAAGTGACCTCTTGAGGTACTATTACACTGTATGAGAAACAAGTCCTTATCACCTGGTTTGATACAAGCCTGTAGTGATGGTTGTTATTACTTATGTTTGGTCTGTCACATTATGATTGAATACAGAAAATAGCTTCCATGTCGTTAATGTTAACAGGAAAAAACTATATGCCCCATTACAAAATGCTGCATTGAGCAGGGTCGTTGCAGCTTAAGATAGGCCTAGTGTTCAAGAAAAATGAATCATTTCTCCAAGTTTTCTCTAACTACATGAGAAAGGAATGCTCATGTGAGGGTAGGCCTTCCCCACATTAAATTATGAGGACATTACTTTTTGTTAGGAAAGTCGGGATACAGTTGTGGGAGCAAAACTTGTTCCCAGAACCTTTTTTGGCCCCCCATGTCTACATGTACACGTGCATTTCAGCAGGTACATGCCTTCTCCCAAGAGCAGGAAAATGCTGTGTATTTCTCCTGTGTAAAACTCCTGGAGCCTGTTGTGCAAACAGAAAAGTAACCATGTGATGCAACAGTATATTCCTAACCTGATTGAGGGTACATGTACATGTTCTTGCCTAATTAAATGCACCCACGGGTCACATTCATGGTGTCCGTGCACTAACTCTCCAATGATCTGGGCATCACATCCCTTTACAAAATCCATTCACTTGTCATGCTTGTGAGGGAAGGCTAAGGAATGTACATGTATGTATTCACGTGAATATGATTAGCACTCTCAAATGTAGTCTATTAGCTCTTGCTTTGACCAAAATAATGAATTTCAGATTTTTTTGGAGGGTGGGGTGAGGGGGTAACTCAACTACAATAATTTTGTGGAGGTTGTTTTGTATACAACAACTTTTGTACTTGTAAATTTTTCAAATTTTCATTTTCACAAACAGAAAAAGGTGTATCAAAATATTGGTGATTACTTTTTTGGTGCATGCAAACCATGCTCATAAACATGCTCAAATGTAAAGTGGCCATTTACAAGGTACTTATGAAAGTTGTGCTGAGCCACACCTAATGTTAAGATGGCTAATCTCTCTAGTGTCACATTCAGATCGAGACTGCACATCTCGTAGGTTATCAGTAATGCGGTACAGTGTGCTGAACTCAGACAACATAAATATAGTAATACAAAAGCATTCAATCCGGCGTGCACAGCATTCACCTTATCAAGATCACGAGCAACATGAACAAATTATTGTAGAATCTGACAAAGGAAAAGACCCTACAAAAAGACCGGAGATGCAAGATAGTTAATACAGCTGTGCTCTGATCATGTTGCTCTGTGCGGAGATGCAAGATAGTTAATACAGCTGTGCTCTGATCATGTTGCTCTGTGCAGAGATGCAAGATAGTACGACTGGCCTCTGATCATGTTGCTCTGTGCAGCTCACGCTTTGATAACCTAGTTACACTGGCCTGGACTCTGGCCTCAAGCACACTCCCTAATCGTTCATTTCTCAAATATTACTAGATTGGTCTCTTATGGCAAACACGTAAAAATACGACAGGGCCAAGGATGGTACAACCGACCCAATTCACTCAAAGTCCACTCGATACGTTTAGAACTGATTAAAGAAGGATCACCTTGCAGTGCAGGTAAAATGGTCAATAACTCGCGCAGGATTTTACTAAATTTTTAAAACAAAATTACATGCTCACAAGTACTGTATTTTTGATCAACATATGACATTACTACTTAAAGTCAAAGTCAACTTAATATCTTGTTAATCAACTCACTAGAGAGGTTTTGCATGGCAGCCATCTCTCCGGTAACTGCTTGTTACAGAGGGATAGTACAACAGTTCTACTTATGTGTATCTCTGTGGAACAAAAGGTCTGGCTGGAAAAATGGCTGTTATGAAGAACCTCAAAACAGACAACGATGGTCAAAAATTTGAAAATCACAATAAGTATAACATTTTTGAAAGTATTTCCAACTTGTATTCCCGAGGTTTTTTTTTAGATGAAGCTACGTAAACAATACAACACAATTTCACATTCTCCGGTTGAAGGCAGAAGTACCATACATGTACCGGTACATGTACACAGAAATGAAATGGCACAATTACATGAAGTACAAAACATGTAATCCAAAAGGCTCATGTATGTAATACCTTTGTGAATGTAAATGAAACAAACAATGTAAATATGGCATTTAGCAAACCCAAGCTTCAAAAAACATCTGCTAACGAGAGGGCAAGGCAACTGAAACGTTCACTCCCATCAGGAAATGCTTGATATGCAATTAAAATGCCATGCATTTCATTCTAGTGGCTGGAACAAGTCCAAGACAATCTGAGTGCCTAGCATCAGAAGTTATGGTTTACAGTTTCAATCCAAATCAAACCAAAGATTACATGCATGTGGGATGCAGTAGGCTGAGGACTCTAAAAATGCCTGGACGTAATCACAACTTTGTGATTAAACTGCACTTCACTGTTTGAATCTGCATGTACATTAAACTATCTACATTTCTTTTGGACCTACATGTACAGTATGTGTCCACAAAATAAAATCTCACTGCAATAGGGCTGCTTTCTTTCTCACCTTGGTCTACACTGGTAGACTGCAACATCGGTAACCAGCAGACACCCCTCCAGGACAGTGTGGGTTTCTATTCTGCTTGGCAGCTCCAGTTTGGTAGTGGACTTGTTTGTGTGGGTCTGTGCCTGGTGTTTCACACCCTGCTGACTATATCTGCTAAAAACATCAAACACATTGTATTCAGTGCCTTTTTTTTTGGGGGGGGTAATTTTTCAACCTTGATCTGTCTGCTTCTTGAGTGAAAAACCATTCCCTGAAGAGAAATGATTCAGAAGTTTTCTACTGTATGAACATTCCATCTGTTTCCTAAACATGACGGTTCATAACCTTCCACCTAGGAATGCTCATAAGCTCTTAGAATTTCCCATCCCCCCAATGTGTCAAGGGCACAGGCGGCACATTCCTTATCCATGAAGCTCGGCCAAAAAACAGGGTTTTTGCCTGTACCTTTTGTATCCCTCATTGCAAAAGCAATTGGATTTACATAGTTCCTGGCCACTTACCCTGGTGAGAATCTACACTTAAGGTTATATCAAGAACAGGCTTACAACCACACAAAATTGTTTTCTTTTCAATCAATGATGGCCAGTTCAGTTCTTCTTTGTACATGAAAATGAAAGCAAATCTTGTGGTAATTGTGCAAATATATGACACAGAGAACAGGAAACAGAGAAGCTGAACAATGCCCAGGGTAGTTTGTATCATTACAACTTTTGGATCTCTTTTTAGCATGTGTGGTTGAAATGTACATGTATGATATACATAGGTGGCAGAAAATGAACAGTGGTTATTTTGAAAACAAAGCAGTCAATATTTTCCTGACCGTTACCCCTAGGTCATAAACCAGAGGAGCGTTCAGGACAGTTGGCAATATTTTCATGACGTTGAATTTTCAGTTGCACGAAGACAAGAGACCGAGGAGAAATTTACACTTAAAGCTTTGATATCATTATGATTAAGTATGTGTATTTGCAGTTCACAGATAAAAAAGTATCCAGCCCCAAGTTTGGGTCCAGGAACTTGCCAATGTCTACGTTCAAGGTAAACCAGCGATATGAACAGTCCAAGGATCAGTTAGTAGAGCACTGGTGTAGTATTCCTGAGGTCAAAGGTTGAAATCCTGCTCCAGCTGATATCTATTTTTTTTGATTGGTAACACTGATAAAGCGTGGATTTATAAAAAGGCACATATCCACTTGCACACTAGCGCTCAAGGCACGGAAATTATTTTCGGTAATATTCAACCAAAATTTATTCAAAAATGAACCCCGTCGATTTTCCCTTGTGGGGTCAATTTGCTCTTGACGTGTGGTGAAAGAGTGAAGTGGGAGGAGAGTTTACATATAGGAGAAGAAGTGGGAGAGGAAGTATAAATGGGGGTGGATGGGAAGGGCATTAGTTGGTCCCCTACCTCGCAGGTGCCCGATCTGCCTGTGTGGTTGTCTTGTCGCTCACGTAGCCGGCAGGGAAGGAACATTTGTAGACGGCAACGACTCGCTCGTCGGACGGAAGGAAGAACGTCTGCATGACAGCAGCCGGGTTGGGCGGATGGTCCTGGTTACCCGTCTCGGAGAGATGGCTGGACAGAACTCCGAGCACCATCTGTTTCCAAGGAAACCGACAGAGATACATGTATTTCCAGTTGGGGCCACAGTTAAATAAATATCCACACAAAGATATGCAGGATATTGATGTAATTGTTACATATTTTTAACATCCAGGATCTCACATCAAATCTAGACCAAGAAAAGTATTTATCACGTTAAGTTTGGCTTATCGTTTCAATGAAGCCATTGGTGTGGTTTTCACTTGTCTCTTTTGGGTTTTGCGATTTTGAGACATATATTTAAAGTATGAGACTTGCATGTTCCTGCTCAAAATTTAAAAAGTTGAATCAAAATATATAATCTGTAATTCAATACAAGAATAGGTTTTAATCTCCACTGACAAAAAAAATTGAAACTTTAGTCTTAAAGCAAGGGGCACAGACAGAAAGGGATACGTGCGCTTACATCACCATCTCGAATGTAAATGACAAACATGAGTCGGTCTGTCAGGACAACATGAGAACACTGTGGAGGGAGCCGGTAGACGTGCAATGGAAACCAGTTATCAATACTGCTGTCAAAGATCTGAAAATGAAGAATAAAGATTGTTTAGATTGGACAGTAGAAGGGGCCTATTGCCATACCTACTTGCCATCCTGATCTGTGCAAAGTTTAGTTTAAAGGGTCTGGGAACATATCTTAAAAGAGGTTATAGGGTTAAATCCCAACATCTTTTCCCTACTCTACGAATGTAATCAGTATGGAGACAAGCAGCATTCTACAAAGTTTACATTTTATTTTCAAATATTTTGTCTTCAAAGTTCATTTCCATGGGTCAACATTGCACAGGTTAAAAAATTGAGATTTGTGGCTTTTTGAAGGTACACACAGACTACAGTCTAGGGTCAGTTTACTCATGATATGATCAAACCCAAGAAACTCAAACTTTGAGGGGCTGCCTCAATTCTTGACAGGTCGCGGCTGTACATGTACCTTGTAGATATTGGAGTCATAATCATGGGCAGCCACAAAGCTCTGGCCCATGGCTGACTGAGTGGACAGCGTCACTACGTCCATGAAGTTATTGAAGCAGTAGGGGAGGAACATACTCTGACTCTCCTCTGTGCAGTGGAAACAGAGTCAATATTATAAGAAGCTTTAACAACGTTCAACATTTTAACAGTACAAGATAAATGTCATGAGATGGAATTTTGTGACAACACAACAACCATGCCAGATATGCACACATTTTTTCAGTAGTTGTGGGGACTGTACATGTGTTGAATCAAAGACGTTGTGAGGACAAAACAAGATGAAGGCAAATTTTGAAAAAGAAATTGTCTCTTCAATGAAGGCCTGGCCATGAAGTTACATTTCCTAATCCTCCACTCTTTGGAGGATTAGCTGCAGCTGAAACACATTAGAAACACGTACATGTACTACGGGGCTGGAGTAGTGTGTATACTCCACTGATCAAAAGTCCCGACTGCAAACTATTTAAGCAAGAGCGTCACATCTTCAGACTTCAACAGCTACTTGGTGACTTGAGGACTATCTGTGAAACTGCAGGCTACCTGCTGTGAACCTGTGTTTGCCATTTGTTTCTTGCAACAGACCGGCCAACCCTTAGAGGAGCATGAAGATTTCTGTTTCTGTATTCTGTAAATTATTTCCCTGAAATCAGCGCGTTCTTTGCCGTTCCAACTATCTACGATCTGTGTGAAATCGGCTAAAAGTCTGTTTGCAGAATATCGTATCAATACTCCCACAACACCAATACTTGGATCCAGCCACATGAGCATATCTTACGTGCATTGAGGATGTTCAGCTTCGGCACGTTATGAGGATGGATGACCTCAAAGCCTGGGACGGCAATCTCTATTTCAGCAGTCTTTCGGTTTGCATCGGCTTTTTGTTTCTCTAGTAACAGACCCCACTGGTTGCCTGGGTCACTCTGAATCTAGAATCAAACAGTAGATTTGATGATATGTGCGACAAATTTCAACTGTAAATGTTTTGAACTTGTTTAGTTGATTTGTCGGAAAACAGGAATTTCTGTAAACGTTTTGATTTGACATCAAATTGTTGGTATGTAACACATATTACAAATATATCAAATGGTAAATATGACACATATGATATAACAAAGTTTGAATTGAATAGTACTTGGACTACATTTTCAAAGCATAGCACATGCTGGTTTCAAAATGAATTTGACTGAGGAAGGAATGTAAAATGCCTTTAAGCAAGGTGAAAAAAGGGAGAAAAACCCTAACAAACACTGACATATCCAGAAAAACAAAATAAAACTGAACAGAAAAAGATGCTGCCCTTTATTCTTGGCCATTTGCTGCCAAATCTTGATTCACCGGTATGAACTGTAAAATTATCAGTACATCCCAAGCCATTCATCACAGCTCGGTATTCTGCAATCTCGTGTACAATTCTATCTGTTCTCTGTCAACTACTCACCAGAAGGTACGTTACTCCGGGATGATTGACGACGTCTAGTATGGCAACTTCCTCCTTGAGATTCAACGCTCTGACGACTTTGCGGCCAGCCACATCGATCAGGGTGATCTCCCCCTCCCGTGTGCCCACAATCACAATACGCCTCCCGTCGGAGGAATTCCACCAGACAACTTGGGCAGGGATTCCTGGATTGAGCAGGCAGATTATAAGTGGAAATCCACTGCACTTATACATTGTGCCTGAACTGTGAAGTTCTGTGAAGAACTGCGAAGTGACTTTAACTGCATTTGCTGAGTTAGCCAGCCGTGTCAAAATGCGCGCCCACAAGTCTTTGGACAGACTGCTGGCTGAAGCCGTTAGTTAAAGAGGCTTTCCAAGGGATGTGTTCATATCTAAGCTGAGTAATTTGCACATGGCCTTAATTTTTCCCCACTGCACGTATGTTGTTGTTAATGTGCACAGATGATTCACAATTTTCAAATGAATGTGCACACATGAAGGGCATGTCCCCATGCCGGTGCTCTTCTGAGAGATTACACAACAAAACCTATTTCTGTGCCGTGTCTGAAACTTGACATCATCTGACCTTTGCCACTTCCTGCTGGGGACTCCGGAATCAGAGACGTATGGTTTATATGCGTGGCGGGGTCTCCG